TAGCAAAAACGTGATAGGAATGGGATGCCAGGGGAATAGATGATTCTCGCATCTGAAATCCATGATTAGCTTTTGGTTAAGTGTGCAATTAAAATTTACAATCAAGTATGATGGAGTTCTAAATTTACCTCTTTAAAAAAAAAGCAAAAAACAAAAAACAAAAAACAACACAAAACCAAAAACTAACCAACAAACCGAACTTAAGTTACCAGTGTTACTTCTTTTAATGCCTTTCCTATGAGGCGAGCTGCACAGTAACATCCTGTCATCCAGGCAACAACTGATACAAAAAAATGTTAAACACACTGCATATTTGCCTTCTGGATGGGTACACAGCTTGGGTTTTATTTTGGTTTACACTTGTTTTGTTTTGTAATGGTAACTGCCACTCAGCATAATTAGCAGTTCTCATATTTCAGTTTGTAAAGATACTTGCCACAAAACCAGAGTGATGTTGCTTTGCATGCTCTTCCCAGCTGTGCCTGAAAGCTGTGACACGTGTTTCAGACATCCACTACAGCTAATCTCAGACCCCTACAGGTTTCAGCAGTTAAACCAAGGAAATATTTTTGTTACTGGGAAAGAAAAAGCTGTACTTATCCTAGCAGTTTAAATCTGATAAGCAGCACCTTAAAAGAAAAATCATACTGCAGTCTAAATATGCTGTCTCCATCTGAACATCACATCCTTTTGCCTTTTAACCTGAAGTTAAATTTAACCTCTATTTGACTTTAAAAAGGGGGTTTGAAAGTAGTTTTGACTGTAAGATCAGCTGCCAAAACCTGTATTTAGTTATACTTATTATTAATCATATATATGTTCATGTGTTATGTGTAGTATGTCCAACAAAAATGAGACTCCATTGTGTAGGGTGCTGTACAAAAGTATAACGGAACTGTAATGAAATTCCTCACACAAAACACATATTGAGTGGTGTGCAAGTGTTTTGAGCTAAACAGTGATTTTCCATCAACAAATTTGTGTTACTACCCCAAATGCTCATGGAATTAACCTAGACTGGGCCAGCCTGAAGGACCAGAGTTTGCCCCTCAGCTTTTAATCTCAATGCTAAATTGCTCAAGAGTTCTGCTGCTATTATTACTTACCACCATTATTACTTATCACCAATAGAAACACAAATAAACAGAAGAAGGGAAAAAACAAAAAGACGTCTCACACTGCTCTCACCTAAAACCCAAATCACTTTTATTCATTCACCATGCTTCCATCTGGATCTGGACAAAGTAGCCTTCTCTAGCTGCTAGGCAACCTGAACACAGCAGTGAGTATAAACTGTATGCATTTCCTGAGAATATAATAATGTTACCTTTGAGATTTATTTATAATAAAAACCATACCTAGCTGAAAATATAATAGCTTTCCTTCAGTAATCACTAATTAGCAACTCTGGGAATAAAAAACTGTTGGTCAAGAAAGAAATAACCCACATGTACACCCCAAATGCAGGGAGATATTATAGATTGGCTCCTAACAAATATAAGGGAGATACTTTCATATAAGGTATTATTACTGATAGCAGTGACATTAAAAAATTCTAATCCATGAATTACATTTCTGTAGATATTAGAATATCTACATAATATAGGAATAGATTTAATTAAGTAATGTTTTAAATTAGAAATGTTCAAATTACCAAACCTCATCCAACTACAAAATGAACTTTCTCAATAAAGGTAATTTATTCTATTTACACAGAGCCACCATTCCTAAACAAGACAGAAAAGACTTGAAATTAAAACACAGTCAACTGATCTTGGAGTTCTTTAAAGAAAACCAAACCAAACCAAGAAACCTACAAAACATTATTTCACATGACCCCTCTCCAGACCATTTTAAATTTTGTTCTCTAACAGCAGAGCTATCATTCAACCGTAAAAAAAAACATTAATATCTTTGCTATGTCCCATTCCTCTCAAACTCAAGAGATACTCCTTTCACATCTTTCAAAACAGAGCATTTCCCAGACTGCTAGGTCACTAGCACAACTGATAGGACTCTCTATTAAAATAGAGTGTGACTGAGGGGTTAATGTCAACAAACCAAAAGGCCCACTAATGACATCAAAACAAAACAGAGCAGAACTCTTTTTTGATCATTACATTTGACAGCTTGTCAAATCTTGATTCACAAAATACTAACTTCCTCTAACTCAGCACAAACACAAAAGCTAGATCTCTAGTTTAAAAATGATCATCAATTCCTACTGGAGATATTAACCACAAGACAGGCCAGAAAGACATTTACTGATACAGCAAAACACTGTTAGCCTTTATGTGCAGCTGCTTGGCACTTGTGAATTTTTCTTAGTTTTAAAAAAAACCCAATGAGCATTTTGTAGCTGGAGTCTTACGCCCGAATACTGTGCTCTTCTGTTCAACACAGGCAAAGTCAATGTAGAAAGTCCCACTGATCGCTGATCTCTCTGGATAACAGCACAGCAGTAGGAACTTTGCCCCACCTTAAGATTTGCAGGACACAAAAGGTTATTTGTGCACAGACCTTGAGCACCTCCAGTCTGCCACTGCTGCATACACTTAAGAGCTCCACAAGCACCCATGAAATGAAAGAGACCTGGCTCCGCAGAACAGAGAACATTAGAGGTTCCTAGAAGTGCTCCTCTCTGGATTTTATAAAGACATTTGAAGTAATTAATTTAAATGCTTCTACCTTCTCCTTCTTCACTTATTAGTTTCACATTAAACGTGATTCAGGTAAGACTTAACATCGAGCTTAGGGGGAGCATAATTAAAAAAAAAAAAAGTCAACCTAGCTAGAAAGTTGTAAGTAAAAGCAAAGAATTCAATGGAGCCACAGGGTCCCACACTCACAGAAACTCAACAGGGGCTGTAAACCATTTTAAAAAATAATTGGAAGACAGGTTGGTAAGAAAACTCTTCCTTCCTACACACAAGAAACACAGTTTTGGTATGCTAATGACCTCCACTACTACTAAATGTACTCTGTACATCGAAATAACAAGTTTAATCTCAGGACAGGCAGGAGGCAAACAAGTTCAAATACTGTGGTTTTTTATAGAGGTACACACTTAATGTTTTTGTTAAGGTCCTTAAATCATGACTCACAGCAGGGAAGCATGCAAGGAGCACAGAAAGAGAGAAGAAAAGAGCACAAGTCACTCTAGAAACTGTCAAACACTTACATAAACCTTTTATTGAAAATAAATTTTAAATCAACAGTGTTGTTGGTAACTCCAACATTACAGGTCCTATAGATAGCACCCTCCGAGGAATCCACCTGACATCTCTTTTCATAAGAAGTTTAAGGTTATTGAAACCTTTTTCCCTCCAAAGCCTGCAAACATTTAATTAAAACTATTGCTCAATTCATTTTAATCCCAGTATCTTTGCAAAAAACCCAAATATTTCATGGTGCTTTCTGTCCTGCTTTTACACAACTTATTAGTGAATTTCATGTTCCAAGATTAAGAAAGACAAAACAGATTGTCTTTAGTTACTTATGGGAATTGTCTTTAGTTACTTATGGGGCTTGAAGTCCAAACATTCCTATTACCTAAACCCTAAATTAAATCAAACAGTTTCATGCCAGGTTATCTACATTAGTTTTAATGCCATAGGTTTGCAACATGAAGAGGACATTTTATTAAATAATTTGTTGTACATTGTACCCAGCAACGCAGAAATAAAATTAATCATATTGTTGCAGTTAAAAAAAAAAAATAAAAATTCCTCATTTCAGATTCTATTTTATTGTGACTCTTCAAGACCATCACAATAAATAAAAACATGTGATTACTATTAAATGCTATAATACATTAAAAACATTTAAAAGCAATAATCAAAGATTAACTATAAATCAAGTGTATATAGATCAATTAGACTATGCTTGTATAATAGCTGGGGCAGGGTCTGGGTAGCAAAGTTACAGTTTCAACTCATCTTCAAGCCTGAATTTTAACTTGTGGGAGAAACAACTAAGTAGACAGCTACTTTGAGTCAGTGAACTAACTCCTTTGAAATTGTTTAAGAGAATCTAAGTCTCATAACTTCTATTTGAGATCTTTTATGCAAGCCAGACAAACTGTGCAAACTGGCCTTTCAGCTAGAGCCCCATGGTACTTTAAGCAATCTGAGCCTAGGCTTTTTAAACACACCAAGTAATTCACTGGGACGCAGAGGGTTTAAGCACCATCAGAATAAATTGCACTTGCACTGTAGGATTTAAGTCATTTGCCAGCAAGTAGAATAAAACAAAGCACTTGCTTTCCATAAAAAGGAATATCATGAGCTACTGACACAATTACTTGCACCTCAAGAACTCGTTTTTTGAAAAAAAAAAAAAAAAAAAAGAAAAAAAAAAAAAAGTTAGGATGCTGTAATTCAAAAACACTGAAAATGTCCCATGACCGGGTGTTTGAGCGGAGGGACCCTCCATCTTACCTGCACAAGTTCTCTCCCCATTTGATTTACCAAGAAGTTGTGTCAGCAGAGATGGTTTGAAGCATACCTCTGTCTTCACCTGAAGAATCCTGGATGGATGAAGTGAACTGGCTTGGCACTGCTGAGTGGGCACAGAAGTTGTAGGAAGATACAAGTATCTTACATGGAGGACATAAGCTGCTAGTAGAATCTATGCCTAGGGTCCACTCATTAAGTGCTCACTGAATTTCTTCACCTACTAGTGCTCACTCAAAAAGAGGTGGTTACTAAAGGGCTCCAGACCTGCTTGGGGTTTGCTGCAGTTTAATAGTTCACTGACGGCTAAGAACATAGAGCAGCTGCTTAAGACCATAACAGGAGTCCCACTAGTTGAGTGAGACAGTAGTACAAAGAGAACTTAACTCAGCTATACTGCAGGGGTACAAATGATATAGCCACACAAAACTTATGAACAATCAAATTCTGTATTAATTCAAAAATCTACTTCCAAACAAGCTATTTTTTACCATCATATCTTTGATGGGTTTAATATAAAGCATTTGTAAAAACACTGGCACTTACCCAAATCTGCAGTTTCACCCGCTTGTCATTTCTATAAACTGTTTTCACTTTGAAGTCAATTCCTACTGTGCTAACGAAGGCTGGTGTGAAAGTGTCATCGGCATATCTGAAGAGGAAGGATGTTTTGCCCACGCTGCTGTTGCCAATGATCAGGAGTTTGAACATGTAATCAAAATTTTGATCTGAAGTATCTTTCTGCCTGTATCTGGCATCTGTTACTGAAGCCATCTAAGAAAATGACAAATATTGAAAAAGAACAGATTTAAAAGCAGTTCATCATTTGTTTTCCTCAACTGTGTACCATATGTTTAGTTTATCTCTCTTCATTCTAATATCATAACCACTACATTTGCTTAATAAAGAGGATCACACCTTGAAATCTTCTTTTAAATTCTGGCTTTACATTTCTATTATCCACTTGTACTGGTAAGAGTACCAAACCCAATAAATACACCTGTTGCACCACTTTGTGTTGAAAATAATAACAGATGGCTACTGCAGATTGTTCAAATAACTAGTGGGGAAACAGCATTCTTTACTCCCCTGGCAGGGTGGCACTTCTGTTGCTCAAATAAACTGGAGTGCTGCAACCAAGAACTAAAATCTTTGACAGTGCATCCAACTATGCAATTCATGAAGCAGCCTCCAAGGCAGATAAACCTAAATAATTCCTTTTATGACTACTAGGGAAAATGTGCATTTCCAGCGCATGCACCACCACCATTTCATCCTTAGAGAAAAGTTCGGTCTTCAACATTTACAGAAGAAAAAAAAAAAAGCCATGGGAGAAGATGAAACACCAGGAATTTCAGCTGAAAACTGAATCCATCCAACACCTATCTACTCTCAAGACTGCAATTAAAATAAACAGCACTTGCATAAAACATGAGGGCTCAGTGGGGCTGCAGGTAGCATTTGGAATCATCCCTTTTGATATGGGGGAAGTAAGAGTTGGGGATGTTGGTGGGATGGGGAGGGGAAAAGATGCAGCCTCAGAGATCCCTCCTTCTCCTGTGACCCTGAACTGGATTCAGTAACCAAAAAACAACTGCAGAGTCTGAAATATCAAGATGGGTGGAGCTCACCGAGCTGCTTTAACATATGCAGCTCAGACATTCCATGGGAGAAGGCAAGTCCCTTTTCATCTGTTTGTACAGAGCAGAAGACAACTACATAGACCAAATTACTACAGAGAGGAAAAAAAGGAAAATTTACCTTTTAACAGATATACCACACTTTTCATCTGTAATGCCATTTCAAAATCTACCCCACATCAAAGAAGCAAAGCTCTTGGCTCCTTATAACCAGTCAGGGGGTTGTGCAAATTGGGGCAACGACAGCATAGGTCTGATCAGCAGTTTACTCATCCACCAAACTAGGACACCTGCTACTGTGTGCAGTGTCAGAAAGCCCTGAGTGGAGACCAAAGTCTCTTCTCTTGGCATCCAAAGAAATAAGTTAATTTTCCCCTCAATTCAGATTCATTGACATCTTTGGGAACAAAACTCCCACCAACATCTACCATGTGCCCAAACACTTTCCTTCTTAGCAAGTCTCACCTGTGCACAGGACTTCACTCACCCACTGAAACAAAACAAAACACACAGCTCAAAACTCACTGAAGTTAAACAGCTATAAACCAAAACGCTGTCCAAAGGCAATTTAAATTGGGATGACAACAGTTTAACTTAAATCCCCAACAGAAGGGAAACAAACCAAAACCAACCCAGTTTAAATTTCAGTAAAATATGCATGATGGTTTATCTCTGACAAAACACGTGCAACTTTTTAACACAGAAAAGAGCTGGTGCAGCAGACATTTCATTCACAGACTGCATTAACAAGGACAGTTTCTGAAGAACTTATCCATAGCTCAATAGTCAACAGCTGCACTCAATGCAGTAAAATCTTCCCACAAGTAATTCTCTGTAGGATACAACACAATTGTGATACAGACTCTTCTGAAATTCAGCTGCTATTCAGTAACACTACAGTCCTTTGCAAGCACTCCAGAAAACCCAAGTACAAATTTCCTTCCCATCAGTGTATCAGAAAAGAGCTCTTCTACTCATGCCTTGTGATTCTTAACAGGAATTTCTCAAATGGAAAATTCAACATCCAACTGACTTACACACACACACACACACTCAGGCCAAGGCACACACCACCTCAGTTTGAATGTTAGAATCTCAGCTGCAAAAAAATATGAATCCAGATGATTAGTTGATTTGTACCATCACCAAGCTGGAAGACAGTAAGAAGTTGTCTATTTGAGTCATTTATCTTCCTCGTACACATACATAACTTCCACAAATGCCCCTGAGAACTCATGTGCACTTACTAAAGAAGAAAAAAAGAACTAAAAATCTCTACCTCTCCATTCCACTCACAAAGGCTTGAAAAGTCAGATGCCCTCATCACTTGAAGCCTGGTCATGTAAAGAATTGGAGGCAGACCTTTAACAAAGAAATATTCCACTGATCATACAGGAATCAATATTTTCTTTCTATCCCTGCCTTCACAGAATCCGTCCACACACTCCAAACTGATCTTTCGAATGAAACACTGCTGCTTCTATTAACCCCCCTAGATTGCTATAATCAAAAGTGTACCTGGCTACAAATGTGACTTTCAGATCTCAGTTAAAAAGCAATTACAGAATGCGGCCAGCTAGAGCAGCTTTGTTAGAAGCACAATGCAGAAAATAAGATCAAATGATACTTGTACAGAACGCGGGGCTGTTGTCATAGAAGCACAACACTCACTGGCCTGTGCGTGCCACTGTGCTACACTGAAGATGCTGCAGGCCAGCTCCTTGAATCATTAGAGGCAGCATTGAAGCACAAAAAATTTCAAAGAAAATTCCATCCCCTTGCTTAAATTTGACTTTTTCCTTCCCCCTCCTCTGGTCAATAGAGTGAAACCAAAAGGACTTCAGTGCTAATTACTGATTACTCCCCAGATTGTAGATCATTACTGAAGCTGTACTCCACCAGTGTTTGGGCTGAAAGTGTTCACAGGGCTGCCCCTGAATTTGCACTTGAATCCTGAAGCCAGGAACTAGCAGACCTTTCTCCCAATTCTCCTCCCCTCCCTTCCTCTTCCCCACTTGTTGTCCCATCCCTGCTCCAAGCGCTCCCTAGTTATGTCAGTCCTGAAGACCACGCAGAGAGCTGGTTCAGAGAACAGAGAGATCCTAGTTAAAAATAAATCCTCCTACAACTTCTGTTTTGCAGGGCTGTTTTTAAAGTTGTTTCAGTTCCCGATCCAGCACTGCTGAGGGAGCTAAGCAGAGGGGCCCAAGTGGTGGGAAGCGATGGCAGTTGCTATGCTACTGAGAGAAAGGTCCACAAAATCACATCTCCTGCACGCCCTCCACACCTGGTGGAGATTCAGCCTCAGCAGGAGGGAAAAGGTGACAATACATCCATGTCGGGCAGCTCTTGCCTGCCCAACTTGTCAGAACATCTCATGCAGCCATTGCTCCCAGAGGATTTTATTCTCACCTTGGTGGACGGATGTTTAGCTGGCAGTGTAACCCCCTGATCGCTGGGCACGCAGCTACATGTGCTCTTTGCTTGGGGTGACTCTAGCATCTCTGCTGTTTTACCAGGACACGCAGACTAACTAGGGTTTTGTTACAGAAGACCAATTCAAATGAGACCAGCACACAGAGTACAAAAGAGAAGCTTGTGACTTTCCATTTTGACTGCCTTGGAATAATCCTCAAGAAAATATCTATACAGGAAAGATTTAGCCACATTACAGAAAACCCATTGCACAGAAGAAAAAGCTGCCAATCAGACTGTCCTTAGGAACACTTCAGTATGAAACCTTGCATCTTTCAGTTCTTTACCTAGGTAGTCCACTTCTTTGTAGCTAAGAGCATACTAATACTGACAACCTGTTTTCCCCATATGCTTTAGCAATGGGAACAAGGTCTCAAACACGTCCACTTCCAACTAGTTTTGTGAGAATAGGCAGTTATGTAGCTATGAGATGCCTTATAATTTCCCTATTGAGGAAAAAGCCTGCAGCGTGAGCTCGTCTTTTATTAGACAAAGAAACCACATAGGAGGAGGATGCTACAAATGCTCTAAAGCAATAAAATCTTAATCAGAGCTTATTAGCCACCAAAGAATATGTTCCTCAGTCAAGGTGGTTCTCCTGCCTTTATTTTCTGATTTGCTCTAATGAAGTTTCAAAAAACCAAACCTATCACCCTAAGACACCTCCATGGGAAACCAGCCTTTGCTGCTTTCAGTACTCACTGAAATGTGTCATATAGATGCTTCACGCAGCTGTGCTTTTTAATTTGTGAGCAACATCACAGTGAAGAATCAAACCGGTTTGTAGTGCAGCACAAACCATCAGTGTTACCGCTCTTACAAATCACTAAAAGTGGCCACTGCTGCCCCTGTTCTGCAGTATTTACAGTCTACAGACAACTTCTGTGAAAAGCAGCACACGAACCATCTAAAGGTGATGGTGCTGGCTAGAAATCAACTGGTATATCTTACCATCCATTTATTTGCAGAAGAAAACAAAAGCTGACTTCAGGTGTTGCCAGCCCTTACAGTTTTGGCTACAAACTAATGGAGGGCTGCTCTTCCCTATCCTCTCACAGACAAGAAGAAATCTGATCATTACCCTTGGAAGTTTAGGCGTCTGTATTTAGCATGGGTTTGTTCACAGACATGGCCGCTTCCACATCCCATTCTCTTTCCCAACATTGCGAGGAAGAAGCCTGAATTTAGAAAAGAGTCTCCTTGTCTGGTGTCAGTCACCTTGGTTAACCATGAAACACAGTCACACTGATGGAACTTATACTTCCAACTACACGCTAAGACATAACTGCAATTTCAACTTGTTATGAACCTGTGTATTACGTATATTACAAGTTCTGTGCATTTCTAACAGTAAAAAGATCTTTCAATATTTGTCACTGCTTTATTTTTAAAGCCAAAATGGAAATGTTTTACATGTTACGTATGTTTTCTGTTATATAGGACCAGTGGCAATTTAAAAGTGACTGTCTAACTGTTTCAGCAGCAGCAGCTAGCACACACATGTTTCTTTTATTAGGCAGGTGAGAAGATGGGGGTGAAACTGCACCCCTGTATTTCTACAAGTCAAGGATCTTATGACAGTATCCTACTCCAGGCAGGGTCCAGCCTCATTTTGTGTGTGTTCAGCAACTGAGCCTCTGCTGTTTCTCCTGATACACTATTTTACTGCCTTACAGAGCTATCAGTGTTAAACGATTCCTTTATTTCAGAGTCCAAACTTCCTTTTTCTTACTTCCATCTTACTGTTCCTGAGTCCCAGTGCTCAAGATCAGCCAACAGAGAAAAACTGAGAAAGAAGCTAACAACTATTGGTCTAGAAGGAATAAGTGGTAACAGCAGCCAACAAGAGAAGGGGCACAGTCACAAACACAGCTGTACCTGTTAGGCTCCTTGCTACCCATAGGCACTGAGGAGTGTGGGAGGGAAAAAAGAGATTATTAAATACTCATTTAGTAAAAGCAGAAATAATGAGGCTAACTAAAAGTAGAAGATTCAAAAAAAAAAAAACAACAAAACAAACGTACATAGTGCTAAAGTCAAATAGATCACACATATGCAAAGGCTCTTATAGAAACATAAGACGGGAGCCTTGTAGACAGCTCCGAAGATGCTAAAAGACCATGAAAACTATACAAGAAGTTACGTGGTAGGGAATAAACAAAAAAGTAACTAAACAAAAACATTTCTTCATCTCTAATACTTGCAGCTTAGCAATAATCCATAAGACACATTACTGACATGCAGTGTAATGTCGAGATTTAATACCTTGTTGTTTGGGTTTTTTTTCCAAAAACCTCTTTAAAAGTGCATCTACATTAAAAATATTCTAGTTCATAATTTTATGCCAATTTTCTATTATAAAACCCCACTCTGTTATGTGCTCTGTCATCTGAAAAAAAATATGTGGGTTTGTTTTAATTTTTCTTTCTCAGGAATTAAATTAAATCCTGAATCAGATTTTTATCAAGCAATGAAATTTTTTTTACAGCAAATGTATGCTGTCTTAAGAATAAAGCCCATAAATGAAACAAGGCCATGACCTTAAGGAATCATACAAATGCTGTACTATGAGAGATTTATGAGAAGCAGAAAACAAAGTATGAGCAGTTAACATAATAAATATTAACATAAATATAATAAATTGTAATAAATATTGCAAGCAAATGATCATTACCAATTTAGATCTATAACCCACAAGACAGATGGAGGCTTTGCTGTGAGTATATTAATCAAGAGAGTGGTCGCACTGTTGAACCTGCAATGCAGAAGCAAAAGGATTACAATGTTTATGATAAAGATGGATAATGAGAGTATTATGGAAGAAATTAATGGATAGGTAAGTTAGACCATGACCACGCTGCTGTGTGAAGGTCTGAGCTTCCTTCACTGAAGACAAAGAGGAAAGCCCTGTAGCATCCAAAGAGAACAAAAGCAGTGCTAGAGTTAGTGACAGGTATTAATATAACAGCAGATATTTGGAGCCATCCATTTAAAATTTATTAAAGGGAGGTTATCTAGATTAATCTAAAGTAAAAGTTCTCGATAAATCCTACAAGTGGATGCAAAACCTCAGCTAGGAATCATTATACCTGTTGTGCAGAAAGGCAGTAAGGTAAATGGAACCAAGGAGCAGCTGAAATACATCTGTATACATTGGTGTTCTGCACAAAGCCTGGGTCAAAGTCTACTGTGCTGCAAAGGCAAACTGAGATAGGACGTGGAAATGTCTGTGACTTACAGCACATCTATACAAAAATAACTGCCTTAAAGTAATAGTTATTCCAGATTTCGAGCATAAAAACATAACAGAATTTAGTCCTCTTTTTTATGACTAATATAATCTAAAGGCCAACTTTGTCCCTGGTGCATTTCTACTCCAGTAAACAAGGGTAAACCACCATTTGTCATCTTGACTTACATTATCTTGCCTTGTGGAGACTGCCAAAACACGTGGACAAATTCAGACCTTTTGTAAACAAGCTGCAGCTACCTATTCCAGGACAGAATTTGGATCAAACAAGGACAAATCCTTTCTCACGATTCACACAATGGACAATCACCTCATCTGGCAACAAGACAGCACCTTGCTCTTGCCCATTTTTCAGCATCGGTTATGTTTCCTCCTGTTCTCACATCCCTCCCCTCCGCAGCTGTTGCTCCCCATGACAGCCTCTGGCTCACGCTTCAGTACTGTCCAGAACTTGATTTTGAGGTGTCATTCAAATAACTTAATTGATAGATCTACAACAATAATAATTCAACAGTGCAAACAGAAAGAAAATTAATTCTATGTTTATTACTTTAAAAATGTAAGCCCCTCATCTTGACAGCAAAAACTAAAATTGATTTATTAATGAGTCCAGAAGTCTTTGCAAGAAGATGCTTGTGGTGGAGTTGGTCCAGAATTCACATGCTTCAAATGAGTTCAATACATGCATGACCACTGAAGGATAAAAACCTCTAAACAATGTAGGCAGTTATTTATTATTGCCCATTCAGATTTGGGAACACAGGCCTTAAAAAGTCTTCAAAGAATTTGCTGAGTGTGGAATGAAAGTCGAAAACCTGAGGATATCATCCCTTTTCCATCAACTCCCTAACTTTACAACTAGATTTTGTTAGTCAGCAGGCTGGGACTGTTGTTAGAAAGATTTCCCCAAGCCAAATGTCTCTCCGTGTCTGGAGCCATGCCTCTCCCATTTCCTGCATGATGTTCAACATCCTTTTAGTCCATTTTAGACCCACAACAAAACTTGCAGGAAGGAGGAATTAGTCACTCATTCTACAACAACAACAAATGTAAAGAAATAAAAGTTCCCACATTTTTTACTCTCTTCTATGAGTGTTTTCATTGCACCTCTTTTATCATCACATAGTTCCATGCCTGCTGGCAAACATGCTACTCCAGGAGATACAGAGAAAAATATTTAACAGTACAAAGATTTCCCCTTATAAAGGGTAGCCACTAACTGAACCCAGCTGAGCTCTCTCCCAGAGGATGCACGGAACAAGACTTTTACATCCTCCTTATGCCCTAAAGAGCGGATGAAGAGATTTCCGCAGTTCCCTGAATATTCCACCAAGTTTGGGAACCCCAGGAGCCAGACCGTTTCTAGACCTACGGAACAGCCAGCTGAATCTGACCCTGAAACCAGTGCTGAACCCAGAGAACAGTGCGAGCTGAAGAGGTTGATTGCTATTACAAAACTTACCATCATTAAAGCTTGCTTCCTGTTACAAACATTGCAGCAATGACTGAGATAACAGACTTCAGTCTGCTTCTCATCTGCTCTCCTGCCTTGCAGTTCTGCCACGGTTTCTCTGAGAATGAACTGGCTATAGTGAAATACTTCTGAGTATCTCACTGTTGAATACACTGAAGCAGCAGTGATATTAAAACACCCAGAGAAACACAAGACAACTCTGTAACAACTCTGCTACAAGAAAGAGAGGTGTAGCTCCCTGCTGATCCTTCCCCAGCTGGATGGCAGGGCACAGCTACGTTCTGTGCTGGGATACAGCCCTCCATGGAGAAAGCCATGACCATGCCCTCCCACGGTGGTGGAAGATAAGGTGAGTTCAGGTACATGATGGAATTCCTACTATCTGGAGCTGGAATCACACCATGTGGAGATTCAGGCAGACACCCCTCCACCAGTGCACAGGAGACAGTTACAGATTTTTCTGCATCACCAGGTCTAAACCCTTTAATTTATTGGTAAAAGCAAGCTGCTGTCTTGACCAAATCAGGTGACTGGAAGTTGGTATTGTCTTCTAGTAACCACCTGTAAACCAGAACCACATGGAGACAGGGCCAGCTCAGGATGCCTCTGCAGCACAGAAGTAGTTTAATTTGCCACGTTTTGTCCTCCTCCTCCAAGCAGAAAATCTGTGATGAACAAATTATTTTGTTTCTCTGTGCTGATATTCTCCATGCTGCAAAGTAAACCACCTGCTAACCGGGATTAGGACAAGCACCCTCACAATTCCCGCTTTTTAATTGGCTAGTACTTCCAAAGAGAAGTCTTATTGCTTACCTCAAAGATCAAATACCACCATGCTGCAGTAAGCTAAGCACACAGTTCCAATTTTAGCTCACTAAATATTGCAGAACTTTAAGCACAAGATACATTTTAACAGCAAGAAGCATACCTGAAATTACCAGTTCAGGACATTCCTCAATGTTAGTCTCTCAATGAGAACTGCCTCAGAAAAAAAAAAAAAAATACTTCCTTGGGCTGAACTAGAAACAGAGAACAGACGTGGACTTACTGGGGAGGGTTAAGTGGGTGTGAGTGCCTTTCCCTGGCAGTACGACCAGCCAGGTGATGCAAGACCCTGAAACACAACGCTGTGATCTGCCCATTTTGATCTGGGGCTGCATCAGATCATATGAAAATGAAAATAGGGAAAAACTATCTGAAACCATGCAAGTCAACTGACGTGACTATGACATGACAGTGACAACTAGTATGCTAATGAATACTATATGTATTGCTTTGCTACACCTAGATGTAGCAAGAACTACTGCTATTAAAACCTAAAGCTACTAAGTCTTCTGATTTTGTTACCTGAAAATGTACTGAACCTGCAAAGAGGGCAGCACAGTTTTGTCAAAATTGCAAAGGAAGCTTGATTTAAAGACTGGATTATTTTCCTCTCTTCTTACTTACATTACAAATTGTCCTGATAAAACAGTTCTGAAAGCAGGGATCACACCAAGGTCTCAGTAAATGCATATACAGCCGCTTCCACTATAGCAAGCACAACAGGAAATTAAACCTTCTTAGTTATACACATACATACAGCAGCATATGGATTTGATCTTGTACCCACTATAACCCAATACAGTGCTCCCATGATCTGGGTACAGATGCAAATACACAGATCAAGACTGTAGTTCTAATGACATTTTTACCTTGGGAAGGAGAAGGAGGGAAAAACCCACTTAAAAGAGGTTTATTTGAACCCAGAGCTAATCCAGGCTACTATGAAGCCCCACAAACTGTTACTAGCATAGCTAAGAGTGCAGCACTAGGTCAGAAGTGAGCAATGAGGAACAAAGCAGGAGAGGCTGAAACCAGGTTTATCACCAAGGAAGTGCACAGAACCATGAATTTCCTCCTTCCGAGGCCACAGCCTTATATTGTCTCGGGTCACAGGAATATCCAGGTTAAAAGTAACCCCTGACCCCAGGGGTTGGAAGTTGGTTTTTGGTTTTGATTTGGTCGGGTTTTTTTGGGGTTTGGGTTTGTTTTTTTTTGTCAGGTTATTCTTAATTTAGGTCAGATCAACTTGATGCAGTGCACAAACATACCTGCCTGTGTCGCAAGAAGGAAAGGACATCACTGAGACAGAACCTTGGGAGGTGAAAAGGTGGCAACGCTTGTGCTGGTGTTTGCAGTATCACCTGCGACCCCACAGCACGATGCTACCGCGCGCATCGGATGCCACCGCCTTGCCGCTGGCGAGCACAGAGAAGATAACGGGGAAGAAAAACAACGCAGAGTCTCAGAACACACGGCAAAAGATCATTGTGGCAGCATAAACTGGAGAAATTGGAGAGTTTTTACTTTTCACGAATTAAATCAGAACGACTGATTTGTTTTGGCTCCGTGTAACAGGTTCGCTTCGGGGCGGCGCGGCCGTGTCCACCCAGGCTGCGAGTCCGTCCTGCCCCCTGCACGGCGAGGAGCCCACCCGCGGGTGGGGGGTCAGCAGCCAGCAGCCGCGCAGTCCCGTCTCTCCCCTTCAAAGTGCAGCAAAACCAGAAACAACAGAAACAAAACCCCGCGTTTCCCGGCAGTTTGTTTTACCGCCGTACGGTTTTTGGGGTTGAAGTGCTGCAACAAACTGAGCAGAAAACAACCGCCCGGGGTGACAGGACCCGACAAAGGTTACGCACCAGCTGGAAAACAGCCGTGAAGGCCCCGGTCTCCGGCCTCCCCCCGCGCCGCTCAGGAC